GTCTTCTCTCTCCTGTCTCTCTCTCTCCCTGTCTCTCTCTCCCTCTCTTCCCTGTCTCTCTCTCTCCCATGTCCTCTCTTCCTGTCTTCTTTCCTCTCTCTCTCCTCTCTCGCTCCCTCCGTCTCTTCTCTCTCCATGTCTCTCTCTCTTCTGTGCTCTCTGTCTCTCCCTCTCTCTCCTATCTCTCTCTTCCTCTCTTTCCCCCTGCTCTCTCTTCCCTCTCTCCACACACACACACACTCCGGGCACACCTCTTATGTTCTCACACCTCTTATGTTCCCGGCTCCTCTTTTCGGGGACTCCCTTTGACCGTTCTCGTGCCCCGCTGCATGCGGCTGCTTCCCGGGGACGCCGTACAGGAGCGTGCGCAGGGGCACCGCGCTGGCCAGGCTCCCCGGCCTCCTGACCGCGAAGTCGTCCCTCGGGTCGGGCAGCCGCGGGGGCTCCTCCTCTGGTCCGGACCAGGGGCGGGCTGGGACGCGGACAAGGGCTTCCTCCCGGGCGGAGGCTGACGGCGCTCCACAGCTCCTTTTCTCTTCGCTGGGATTGTTTTTGCGACGGGTACAGAGAGATAAACGGGACCGTGCACGCGACCGGACCACAGCAGTCACCACACCCCAGTCTCCACACGGGGGGCAGGACGTCGTTAGTGAAAGAAGAGTCCTCTCAATCCCCATTAGTGCCGACAACACCGGTTTATTATTTTAGTCCAGGGCTGCAGCGGTAGCAGTTAGCGTGGTTTCTAAATTGCCCGTGTTTAGCAGACACAGCCATACGAAAAAAAAAAAAAAAAAAGAACCACATTTGTTAATTTGCAGGCTCCATCAGCAGGCTGTGAAGGCAGATCCTAAATGGCTCGGGAAGTGACAACTTGATTCTTTGCACGAAACTGGGGGTGGGGAAAACAAAATAGAAAGTTTTTTGTTGCTGTTCTTTGTTTTTTATATGAGCGACATCAGTTATATTTATTAGTTGACAAAATATTTTACATTTTTATAATAATATAACTTTCTTTATATATATATAATTTTATTATTTTCTCAAACTCTGGGTGCAAATATTGTTAAGGTGGGGAGAGGGTGGGGCAGGGGCAAGATATGCAACTTTTTTTTTTCTTGAGTCCATTCATATTAGCCAGGTGACTCGTTGGTTGAGCGACAAGGCTAAAACTGGGCAGTGAGTGCCGTGGCGTCAGCCTCGCTCACAGCAACCTCAGGCTCCTGGGCTCAAGCGATATCCTCCTGCCTCAGCCTCCTCCCGAGTAGCTGGGACTACAGGCGTGCGCCACCACTCCCGGCTAATTTTTTTCTATGTATGTTTTTAGTTGGCCAATTGATTTCTTTCTATTTTTTTTAGTAGAGACGGGCGTCTCGCTCTCGCTCAGGCTGGTCTCGAACTCCTGGCTTGGAGGGATCCTCCTGCCTGGGCCTCCCAGAGCGCTAGGGTGACAGGCGTGAGCCACTGCGCCCGGCCCGCACTTTAGGCTCATGTTCGGTCCTACCGAGGTAGCCCCACTTGCTGTGTTTAGGCGCGGCTGGACGGGCCGGGACTGCCAGGCCGGAGGCAGGGCTCAGCATCTCTCGTTTCCGTTGGACGGGGGGACCCCATTCCTTCCGAGTCAAGCCGTTGCCCGCCCCCCACCCCCTTCGGGACCCCTTCTTCCCAGAGCAGCTGATCCACGAGTGACTTAACCAGAAATAAAATTGCCAAACCTCCCCCGTGACCATGAAGCCAGATAGCCTGGACCTGCCCCTCACATCTACTGGAATTAATTTAACCTAAATTCAGGCGGCGCGAACTAGAGACCTTTATGTTCTCTCCCCCTGCAAAGTGGGCGTGATAATTCCCACCTGTCTTTGCAGGGTTAGCCCGAAAGTTAGTGCACCTGGAATGAGCTTAGCTACTCAACGAGGTTGCCGTTGGGGAAGAATAAAGCAAAATAAAGCAAAAGCTTCACAATAGACTGCCTTGAAGGCCCTTCAAGGAGGAGGAGAGGAATAAAAAAGCATATTGTGAAAGTCATTTAAATATTTTGGTCGCTAGACGCCTGTGAATGCAACCCTAGGTATCATCTGTCTTATACGTGTTGTTCGTTATTTCATGTCCAATAGCGCCAGCTCGGAACTTGTATCATTATGTTTTTCCTCTCTCTGAGTCTGCCTTGAATCTCTGAATTCATGAGATTCGAGCAGTTAGTGGAAAATCAGATGCCGTGACATGTCTCGGGTCAGCCCGCTCTGCAGGGAGACCCCCCCCCCCGAATGCTTTCCGACCCATTGCACATTCTAGGTGAGCTGCCATTTCTCTGCGTGCGTCCGTTTTACCCCCGATCGATCGATCGCTTTCTTGGTGGCCCACGTTTTCGCCTTGTCGGTCAAAATCAAACCGAGTCACCTGCTAATATGAATGGACTCAAGAAAAAAAAAAAAGTTGCATATCTTGCCCCTGCCCCACCCTCTCCCCACCCTAACAATATTTGCACCCACAGAATTTGAGAAAATAAATAAAATTATATATATATAAAAGAAAGTTATATTTATTATAAAAATGTAAAATTATTTGTCCAACTAAATAAATTATAACTGATGTCCTTCAAATAAAAAACAAAGAACAGCAACAAAAAACTTTCTATTTTGTTTTCCCCACCCCCAGTTTCGTGCAAAAAGAATCAGAGTTGTCACTTTCCCGAGCCATTTAGGATCCTGCCTTCCAGCTGCTGATGGAGCCCAAAAAAAAAGATTTCTCTTCCGTCGAAAAAACAATCCAGCGAGAGAAAAGAGGCTGTGGCGCCGTCAGCCCCCCCGGGAGGGAAGCCCTGTCCCGGGTCCCAGCCCGGCCCCGCGTCCGGAGCCAGAGAGGAGCCCGCGCCGCCTGCCCACCCCGAGGGGACGACTTCGCGGTCAGAGGGGCCCGGGAGAGCCGGGCCAGGCCCGCGGTGCCCCTGCGCCAGCTCCTGTACGGGCCGTTCCCCGGGAAGCAGGCGCTGCAGCCGGGGGGCAGCGAGCAGCGGTCAAAGGGAGTCCCCGAAAAGAGGAGCCGGGAACATAAGAGGTGTGAGAACATAAGAGGTGTGCCCGGAGTGTGTGTGGTGTGAGAGAGGGAGGGAGAGAGAGAGACAGGGGGAAAGAGAGGAGAGAGAGAGATAGGGAGAGAGAGGGAGAGACAGAGAGACAGGAAGAGAGAGAGACAGGGAGAGAGAGGGAGAGAGAGGGAGAGAGAGGGAGAGAGAGAGGGAAAGAGAGACAGGGAGAGAGAGACAGGGAGAGAGAGAGACAGGGAGAGAGAGGGAGAGAGAGACAGGGAGAGAGAGAGCAGGGAGAGAGAGAGACAGGGAGAGAGAGAGGGAGAGAGAGAGAGGGAGAGAGACACAGGGAGAGAGACAGGGAGAGAGAGGGAGAGAGAAAGGGAGAGAGAGGGAGGAGAAGACACAGGTGAGAGAGAGAGGAGAGAGAGAGGGGGAGAGAGAACAGGAGGGAGAGAGAGATAGGCGAGGGACGAGACAGAGAAGAGAAGCAGGGAGAGACAGGGAGAGAGACAGGGAGGAGAGAAGACAGGAGAGAGAGACAGGGAGAGAGAAGAACAGGAGGGAGAGAGAGGAGAGAGAGACAGGGAGATGAGAGACGAGGAGAGAGAGAGCCGGATGAGATGGACGAGAGAGAGAGGGAGAGAGAGAGGGAGAGAGAGACGGAGGAGAGGAAGGAAGAGAGGGAGAGGGAGACAGGAAAAGAGAGAGGGAAAGATGAACAGGAGAGAGAGAGAGGAGAGAGAACAGGAGTGAGAGATGAGAGAGAGCCAACAGGAGAGAGAGGGAGAGAAGAGAGGGAGAAGAGAGACAGGGAGAGAGAAGAGGAGAGAGAGGACAGAGAGAGAGGGAGAAGACACAGGGAGAGAGACGGTGAGAGAAGAAGGGATGAAAGGCACAGGGAGAGAGAGAGACGGGGAGAGAACAGAACAGGGGCGAGATAGACAGGGAGGGAGAGAGAGAGACAGGAGAGAGACAGGCCTGAAGTCATCACAGTCCCTCGAGTAGTGTGGGGTCGGGATCGTCCCCGCCGAGCCGGAGTCTCATTGCCATTCCTGGTGGTCATTGTTCAGGGAGGAGCTCTGGCCCCTCTCCCTAAGCGGAACCGTCACCCGTCACCCGGGGGAAGAACTCTGGTCGGCGTCACCGCGCGTAAAAGGCAGCCGTAGCCCAAGACGATCTCAGCTCCTGTCGCCCCCGCGTTTTCAGGGGAGGGAAAGGTGGTTCCCCAATCTCGGTCTGTCCGCAGCCTCTGAGTGTCCACGCTTGACA